ATAAGCCAAAAACTGCTTTTTGTTTCGTCAATGTAGAGAGCTGCTCGCATACTACCATAGTCCCATTAGAAAGCATAAATAAGATAAATCCCGATAAGAAAGATTACGGGAGCTCCAGGACTATGTAGAATAATGATGATTGAGAACTAGACTGAGGTAATCCATCTGTAAGGTTTTTTGAGGATTATGATGTGCTCAAACCAACCTGTAGTAAGTGACAAGCCTGGACCAGTGGCTCCAGTGCATCACGATGTGCATCCAGGCCTTTGGAAGATAACCAAGATTGGATTTCAGTTACGTTGTGTCTGAATTTCGATTAAAGTGAGTATTTTCCTTTTCTACTGATTTACAACCCCTTACCAGCACCGGAAAACCAAATAATCAAGTCATCTAGTGTACTAGACTTACTTGATCTGAATGGCCTTCTCGAAATTACAGAGCTCCTTTCGGAACATCATGTGGTTCAAAGAGAGTGCGCAGATCCAGCTCGAGATTTGGCCAAAGACTTGTCCCAGCAGCACTTGATCAGCTCCATAGACCGCAAGTTTAGCATGCACGTAGTTCAACTAAACCGTGTTGATTATCTAAAGTTACAAGGCCATGTCTAGCTGCTCTTACGAAGTTCAAGAGATCGTCGAGGCCTTTCTTGGCTGCTTCACGGGACAGCTCTCTGCTTTGTTGCTTAGCTCCTGAAGGAACGCCCACATCGCTTGTAGTTTCATGTTGGAGAATACCCGGCACTGAAAGATTCCAATAAAATCAATTCTGCTTGAACTTGGCAAAATAATGTCGAACCTATTTTTGGACTTAGTATTGGTTCAACAGCTCGCTTCATGAGATTCTGATAGCATTCTTCCACCCGTAGTCGTAGCTGCTCGCGAATTGGTGTGATATCATAGGACTGTAGACGGTGACTGTTTTGTTTCTCAGTGTTGGCTGCTGTCCACTCCTGTAATAATACATTTTGGGGCAGATGGTCCCACACAGAAACACATTGGGAGCAGTCTTCTGGCGTGTCTGGATAGGTAACTTCTTATGTGGATAATGGT